GGTCTCCCTTCCTCCCATCCCTTATAAACTTCAGCAAGATGTCACCAGCATCCAGAACTCATCAGGATCACTGCTGTCCTGCTTTCCATGGTGTCTGGTGGGGAGAGAATTGAGTCTCACTGCTGTTATAGTCACCTGCTCCTTCCTCCATCAGCATTCCAGGTCCCCCGTGGTGGAAAGTTTTGAAGCTCCTGGCCATGAGGAACAGGAAATGAGTCTTATTAAAAACAGGACTTTTTTCTTAAAAAGAAAGAAAAAAATGCTCTGTGGTCATTTCTAGGAAAAGCTTTTAGTAAGTGCTTAGCAGCCAAAACTGATAACCAGGAGTGAGCCTGCCCTTTGTGCTTGTCTGCCTGCATTCTGACGTCTATGACTTCATACTGACTTCTTGCATCCTTTCCAAAGCTTGATCTATGCAAGATTAAGAAAAACATGGTCTTTTGTTTCTTTTCCCCACTTACCAGCTTTCTTACACACGTTAAGTGGTATTTTCCACAGCAGCAAGAGTGACAGGAAGAAAACTTGCAAAAAAAAATCACATTATTATTTACTGTAGCTTCATGTCCCTCTCATGATCTTGTTTTCGTAACTCATAGATTTCTATGAAGTGGAAACAGTCTGACTGGCATGCTGCAACAATTTTATCATTAAATATTGCCAGAGATTGCTCAATCCCTTATATCATGACTAAAAAGCTGACATCTAAACACAGAATACCTTTTAAATCAATATAGTTGTGTTTAGGGGGTAGATATGTGTATTTGAAAGAAAAAATACCGGGATGCATTCCTGTTTTCCATTAGAACTATCTCATGGAAGGAGATTGCATCCTCTGCAGGGTGACAGGGTGTGGTATTTGCTGGGTCCCTAGGATGAAGGAAGAATTGAGAATCTGACTCCCTGTTCTCAGAAGGCTAATTTATTGTCTTATGTACTTATATTATATTAAAGAATGCTATACTGAAACTACACTAAAGAATAGAGAAAGGATACAGATAGAAGGCTTAACAAGATACTAATGAAAAACTCGTGACTGATGCCTCAGAGTCTGACACAGCTGATGGTGATTGGTCATTAAGTAAAAGCAATTCACATGAAACAAATCAACATGCACCTGTTGGTAAACAATGTCCAACCACATTGCAAAGCAGCGAAACACAGGAGAAGCAATCAGATAATTCTCTGAGGCTTCTCAGCTTCGCAGGAGAAACAATCCTGGCAAAGGATTTTTCAGAAAATTTGACAGTGACAACAGGGTACACCTGACTTGAGCAGAAATGCAGATCAGAGCAGGGTCTGCCTTTCTTGGCTCTCCTGGGCTGCAGCAAACCAGCTGGGAACAGGAACCTCCCATCTGTCAGCACTTCAGAATCTCCTACAAACCCTCCCCATTCACTGCTGACCAGCTACTACACCTGACCAGTGACTGCTCCACTTCAAAATTTGCTTTTTTCTTCACCCTGGGCTTGCACAGAGCTTGGCAAGGGGGTTGGAAACAGCCCTGGGCTCACCTGGAAATGGGGAGGTGGGAGTCAGTCATGGAAACAAACTGGGAGCAGCTAAACACAAGCAAGGGCTGGGATTGCTGGTGGCAGCTTTACTCAGGAACATAGTCTGGGATTTCTTCAGTTTATCCTTTACTAAATGTGTCACTCACGTGCTGGCAATTACACATCATGGTTTAGGAAGGGATTATTTCAAAGGTAAGCTGGACAGCAGAACATTCTGGAGGAATTTCTCAATTTTTCTCATGTTCTAAACTTGCAATGAATATTTGGGGAAAAACTGCCTTTGATGCATTGCTCTGGGATGTGCTCATGACCATATGCATTAATTTTCTTCCATTCAATTTCTGCCAACAAATCTCACTGCTGTTGCTCAGCAGGTGATAATGATGCTCAAATGTTGCGTGTCTTGTGAGGTCTGGGCTGCTGAACTGATGCAAAATGATCACTTTCTCTTCTCATCCCAAATTCCCACTGGATGGGATTCATCTCACCAGCTTTGCTTGTGCAGAAGGAGATTAGAATTAGAATTACCTCCTCAGCTCCCTCCTGAGACACAGACACTGCTGAAAGGGGTCTAATTTCACCTTTCTGCCCACCCACATGATGATGTGACCTGGAGGCATCTGTCCCTCCACTGACTGCACAGGCAGCATGGACAACTCATCTGAACAGGACACAGAAGGTTTAGACCATTGGAAGTCACATGTGATGCACCTCAGGAGATTGGTTTTTTCTCCAGAGACATACAGGCAGTGTGAAGTCTGCATCAGAAAAAAACCTGTAAATGATATTTACATTTCAGTGAAATATTTTTGCCCACAAAAGACAAAAATGTCTGCCTAAGACATATGGATATGATTAATTCTAGGGAAAGCCATGAAAATGTAGGTCCAGAAGAAAATAAAGACATAAAACCACAAACTTGGCTGATGCTTTTCAATTATTTGAGTGTATGGTAATATGCATAAATTCAGATAAAATTCACTTGAAGACATAGTTCTCATTTTTCTCTAAAGAGCCAATTCCTTTCATCTCTCTGAGCACACAGAGGGCTCTGGTTCCATGTATGTTGCCCACTGGCACAGGGTGCCCAGAGAAGCTGTGGCTGCCCCATCCCTGGAAGTGTTCAAGGCCTGGTTGGATTTGGTTTAGAGGATCCTGGGCATTCTCCTTCCTCCTGGCCTCAGTAATCCAGGGAATAGTCTGGGAATAATCTGGGGAACACTGTGGAGGTCAGAGCTCAAGGGCTTGGCAGTGTTGTGAGGACTGAACGATGCCCAGAGAGGATCCTGCCATTGTGTGCATTGATCCCTGTGCTCCCTCCATAACCCCTGATTTGGGAAACACAGAGAGGATGTTCCCAACATCCCCATTTAGGGATGGCATTCACCCCTCACCTGGGCCCAAATGGTCTGTCAGACCCCCAAATCTCATTTTCTGTGTGAGCACAGTTCCCACAGTTCCTCTACCGGCCAAATAAATAACTTGCTTTGTGTGTTCCAGTGAGTGCTTTGGGATTTGAACTTGTTCTGTGTCTCTCCTCTCATTTTTCCTCCTACCCTGCACATCAGGTGATGGATTCTGCATCAGGTCACTGCTGCCAGCTGGATAAATACAGGTTAGCAGGTCTCTAGAACTGGCTGGCTGAGGAGAGATATTTTTTTTTCACTGCCAGGACAAATCTCACAGTTCTTGAAGAAAAAAATCTTGGTAGCGCTTTATGACTTGTTTGCTTCCCCTCAATTCCTCAAACAAAATGACAAATTTGGTACAATGGGAATAAATGAGGGGTTAGGTCTCTCTTGTGGTTTTCCCCTCCATGGCTTGAAGAGTGACTGATCTCTTTTTAACACCTGATTTTAGAAAATCCTTCATGCCTGAGAGCCAAGGCCAGACCATGGGACCTTTTCTTGCTGGAGCCACGTAAGGTGGGACCTAAGCTCTTGTCTGTCTTAGCAGTCATTACTGTGGTTTTGGGTGGTTTTGCTTTTCATGAAGGAAAGTCTCTGTAACAGGATCTTCTGGCTCCTACAATTCCTCCAAGGCCAAGGATTTTCCAAGACCACACAGTGCCTGGATGCCAGGTGATTCCCAACTGGATATCACTCAGTGCTAGAAAAGCCTCCGTGCTTTTCTCAGTTCAGCTCCTCTGGCCTGAAATGATCTGGTTTCTCCCAAAGAAGAGGACAAGATCTCAACCACCCTTAGTTTCTGTAGTCCCTGATAATGTGAGAGGATGATTCAGCCCCTTGTATCTGGAGTGCCTTTTGGAAGTGCCCTCTCCTCTTTTCCTTTTGTTCTCTGCCGACTGCAGAAAGGCCCTGAGATGCACAAGACTCCCAGCATGGGTGTTTCTGCTGCTCAGAGGCTCCTGGAACACAACCCCTGCATCTCTGGATGGGATGGAAATGGGTTTTCAGCTGTGGCCACAGGCTGTGAGCCCTGCTGTGAGCCTGGCTGCCCTTTCAGAGCCCAGCCACCTCAGCTCTCTGGCAGAGCCTGCGGCTCCGGCGGCGGGCACGGTGCCCATTGCCCGGCAGCCCAGGGTGCCAGCTGACCCCTTAAAGGAGGCTTTTAGGGAAACAGAAATGAAAAACAGCTGTAACCAGAAATGCATGTTAAGCAGGATCTGTGCTGTGACACCATGAGATAAATGGATCTCCCACATCACTCCTAAATCAAAACAAGGACACTCTCAGGAGCAGCTTTGGGACTGATGTTACGGTGGGAGACCAAGCTTATTTTTCTTTCTTTCTTTAGCAAAAGTATTTTTTGTTGAAAGTTTTTGTTTTGTCAGACAAAAAATGATGCTCTGCATCATTTGTTAGTCCTGCTTCCCTGCCTGTCCTGCCATGATCCCTCTGCCAGGGACATCAGGCCCCTCTTGAGTGGCAGAGGCACTTTGTAACGTGTTACAAAAAAGTTTCCCCTTCTTCAACCTCAATCCGACCCTTTTTCCTTTCTTGGAAGAAAGCTGTTGCATTTATTTGGAAGAAATACTGAGTTTCTGCTTCAAGGAGGAGCAGAAAAGAAGCAAATTAATGAAACCCAGGGTCAGGTTACGAAGACCCATGGAGCAGATCTCTTTCAGAAGCATCTTTGAGTTGCCCACTGGGGTGTCCTGCTCAGCCTGCTTGATTCCACAGGGGACATGCCAGCACCCCTGGGCACCCTGTGCCTCACAGCCTGCTGCCTGGCATCGTCCCTCCAGGACATCTGGCACCGATTCCAACCAGACTGTCATTTCCAGGTCAGTCTCCGCATTTCTGCTGACCACGTTGCCTCCATCATGAGATCATGTCTTTCCAGAGGAATCCTGCTAATGCCTTCATTCTGCCAGGCTGGTATATATAGGGGGAGCTTCCCTGGGGCTGCACTCCAGCCAAGGCATCGCCGTCTCCCCAGCAGCGGCGCTGCCCCTTCTGCTCTCCCCTTGCAGCCACAGGTCTCAGCAGCAGCAGCAGCAGCAGCAGCAGCAGCAGCAGCAGCAGCATGGACATTACCATCCAGCACCCCTGGTTCAAGCGTGCTCTGGGACCCCTCATTCCAAGCCGTTTGTTTGACCAGTTTTTTGGAGAGGGTCTCCTCGAGTATGACCTCCTGCCTCTGTTCTCGTCCACTATCAGCCCCTACTACAGGCAGTCCCTCTTCCGCAGCGTGCTGGAGTCGGGCATTTCAGAGGTAAGGGCCCTTTGATTTCCTCTCCTTTCCTTCCTCTCCCTCCTTGTGCCTCCAGCTGCTCCTCTCCACCCACATCTCACATTTCCTGGAAAAGGAAGACCCCAAAGCCACTGCCAGGCACAGCCCACCCACCCCTTCTTGGGCACAAAGGGGAGCCCTCACTGGGGACAAAGCTTCCCTTTGAGAAACAGGAACCATTCTGGCTCCTTTTGAGGGTTGTTTCCAACACAAGAAGGTTGGTTTTGTTGTTCTGTCCCCCACCACCTGAAGAGTGGAGAAGAGCAAGGCTGCTCCCAGAATTAGTGCCTGTGAGGGCAGCTTGCCTTGGGAGAGGACCCTGGCAAGTGGGAGTTTTCTCCACCTTTTCCTCCACCTTGGGAGCTTGGTGGTTTTGCAATCTCTCACTGAAGGACCCCAGAGCAATTTTCTGTAGGAGAATGTGTAGCTATGGGGTCTGTGATCTGAAATTCAGGTCCAGGTACTTTCTGTAGCCCTCTCTTACTGCTTTCCTCCAAGAGCTACAACCACAACGAAACCATAACTCACTGAAAGGATAAAATACATATTACCAGAGAGTCTTACACTGGTATCCATCCCCTCTCTGTGCCTGGTCCATCTGGCAGGTCACTGAGTGCTAAAGGGTCCCCGGCACAAGAATAGCAGCAAGGACAATAACACCTCTGCCCAGAGCAGTAGCCAAGGTGCAGACCTCAACCATGGCCTCCTGGTGACCCTGACACCAACCATGGCCTCCTGGTGATCCTGACACCTCCCACAGCCTCCCAGTGACCCTGACACTTCCCACAGCCTCTCAGTGACCCTGACACCTCCTACACCCTCTGCCTGGGTCCCCACAATGGGAAGAAAACCCCTGCTGAGGCCCATAGGCACAGAAGGACAAAGTGCCAGAGCACCCCTTTTTTGTCCTTTGACCTGTGGTGATGTTGGCAGTGCCCCACAGCCAGAGCTGGGGCCTCATTGTGTGACAATGTTCGTTTCAGGTGAGGTCTGATCGGGACAAGTTCACAATCATGCTGGATGTAAAACACTTCTCTCCCGAAGACTTGAGCGTGAAGATTATTGATGACTTTGTGGAAATCCATGGCAAGCACAGTGAAAGGCAGGTAAGTGGAAGTGATGGTGATGGTGGAGCAGCTGGGGAGTCCAGCTCTGTTTTCCTTCTTTCCAACGGTCCTCAGCTGAAGGAAAAAAAAATGACTATACCAGAAGAAGGAGTTAATTATGAATTGTCATTATTGGCATGGGCTGTTTCCATAGAGCCCCCACCTGATATCTGAAAATAACAAGCTAATCCACCCCTCTTTTGTTTATTTTCAATCATCATCTTCCATAACCATCAGATGACCATGTCCATTGTTCACTAATAACACTGAGCCAGACACAGAACATCATCTGGCACTACTGAAGCATGGCTGAGTTTTCATAAGCCAGAATCCTTAGTGAAAACAGAGTTTTTATATGCCAGTCTGGGAGAGAAAAGCAAGAGCAAACAAAACAAAAGAAAACCAACCAAGTGCCTTAGGCTTGGAAACTTTTAACATGGATGTCATGGAAATATCTGTGGGGGTCGAAAAGTGAATTATACCAGCAGGGGTTTAATTCTTCTCATACACATTTTTGGCTAGACAAGGCTCTAGCCTGGAAACAGTATGTATTTTTAAATATAGTTATTATTCTCATGGCCAACTTTAAAAAAATAATTGCGACTTCTCATTCTTTTGGCCAAAAAAAGAAGGGGGCCAGGATTGTATACTTTGGCTGACACAGCATTGCAGCCTGATAAATAAATACATGGGTGTACACGTCTGCCTTGCCTTTACCTTCCCAGGCCTCCAGACTTTGTCTCCAAGCGTCCTTTGAAATCAGAAGCCCAAATCAGATCCCAGCCTGGGATCAAACCTATGGCCAAAATCACTCCCTGCTGCTGTGCTCAGCTCTTGCAGCTTCACAGGTGTCAGGGGGGACAAAGCTGTGAAATTAACCCTAGCAGAGGTGTGCCCAGCGGTCCTGGCAGTGCAGTGTCACAATAAGCCAGGGTGATTGTGGATGTGGTTCTCCAAGGGAGATGGACAAAGGGAGGCACGGGGAGTTTCTGACACACCTTCCCCCCTTTCCCCACTGCCTCTCAGGACGACCACGGCTACATCTCCCGGGAATTCCACCGCCGGTACCGCCTGCCCGCCAACGTGGACCAGGCTGCCATCACCTGCTCGCTGTCCAACGATGGCATGCTGACCTTCTCGGGCCCCAAGGTCCCCTCCAACATGGACGCCAGCCACAGCGAGAGGCCCATCCCCGTGTCCCGGGAGGAGAAGCCCAGCTCGGCGCCCTCCTCCTGAGCCCGGCGGCGCTGGGCCGGCTGCCACCACCTGCAGGTCCCGCTCCCAGAGCCTTGGCGTAGATATCAGTGAATGTCTAGAGGGGTTTCTTCTCTTGGTTCCTCCCCCACTTTGTTTCCTCCTTTTTTTTGTTTTCTTCTTTTTTGTTTTCCCCCTCTTCCCTCGGATGGAACGGGGGGCTGGGTGAGCGGCTGGTAGACTTGGAAGCTTAAACCTAGTGGGGATGGCGTGGATGGCAGTGCTGCCATGCTGCTGTACTTGCTGAAAGGGTCTTTGTCTGGTGCTGTAGCCCATTTCCACCATCAGGCAGGAATGAGTGCACGAGTAATGCTGGCTGCTGGTGCACCAAGCCTCGAGGCAAGGCTTGGGACAGGGGAAAAGCCCTGCAGAATTGCTGTACCCCACAGCTGGTTACTCTCAAACAGCAACAGAGCCAAGCCCCACACTCAAGACCCCGAACGTGCCACGAGTTCCTTGCAACCGCAGGAGAAATAATAACAACAATAATAATAATAATTAACAATAACATCTCACCTTTGGGGGGTTGCAATGTGTATTTTTTTTCTTTCAGCAAAGTGTTTAGGTGTCTCTGTTCACATCATTGCCCTGTCATTTCCCTCTGGGACAACTGACAGGAGGACAAGCACGTCTTTCCACCGTCTTTGTAGGCCCTCGGTGGGGAGAGAGGGGGGCTCACCACTGTGCAGAGGCTTCCCATCCCCAGCCAGCTCTCCCCAGCCTGTGCGTGACACACTGTCTCCCTTGCTCTCCTGTAACTCTAGGGTAGCTCCACCTCTCCCGCTGGTATCTGGTGCTCAGCCTGAGAACGTGGTCAGTGGCGGTCAATAAAGTGATATAGGAAACACGCAACCGGCGTTGGGGGTTTCATTTGTTCCTTTGGAAGGCTCCTGAAGGTCAGTGTGGTGCCCAGCACCACTTGGAGGATGTGCTTTCCACTGCTGTTGTGAGGATGGCTCACCCTTTCTTTTCTGTTCCCGTTATCGCTCATGCAAGCAAAACCAAAAGTGTCGGGACCCAGGACATTCCTCTGGCTGCCCTGGGTGATTTGAGACCCTGGCAGGGGGCTCAGAGACCTTGGCACAGAGTCAAAAACACCTGTGCCTTCCATTTTAACCCATGGAAACAATTACCAACTTTGTGTGAAGATTTACAAGCCACAAGGGTTTGAGTAGAATGATAGTTAATTTATCACAGGGTGAAAAAGTAGAATTTTGGGGTTTTAGAATGGGGGTTCAAGAGGTAAGATGGAGAAATCTGGGCATGTCCTGTCCTTCTTCTTCTTGTTCTCCATCTTCTGCTGTGATGGTGACACTTTTAGATTGGTTTAGAGTAGAGACAGACTGTCTAACATAGGTGATAGGTATTGGAGAATTATTGTAAATAAAGCATATGTAGTTTTTAGTATAAAAAGTTTATACCACCCCAAAAGGCAAGAACTGTGCCACAACTCAACCTGTTGGACAAATCTCAGCAGGTCAGAGAAAGAATGTGGTAGATGAGGAAAAATAAACAACCTTGAAAAGCAGAACTGACGAATCTAAACTTCTTCTTTAGTTGTGGGGCTGGAAAAAAGAGACTTTCCAATACCTCGGGGTCATCTCAACCACAGAAACCCGAGATAAAAGGATTAGAGAAAGAACAAAACTCAGCCTGACCACCACACCATTCCTTCAGACCACTGGGTCAGTACAAGCAGCACTTCAAACCTCATGCCCAATGGTACCATGTGACAGATTTAATCTGAAATTAATGATTAAGGTTGTTTGATGGCAGCATGGGTGGGGTGGAGGTACGAGCTCTCCCTGCAGTTTCCACGCATGAAATTCACAGCTCCAGTGTATGGGAATAGCCAAGAGTAAAGGTTTCAGCACTCATGCTCTGCTCAAACACCTTTCCACACAGATGGACATCCAAGGTGTTCAGGAAAGGCCCCCACATCCCCATAATTTACCACATAGGTATAATCATCTCAGACAGTTTTTGCTCTGCCAAAAAGCTGAGCCCACCAACCTCCTCCTCTTTGATGCTGATTAGCTGTGAAAAACAGAGGAAACAAATGCAGTTGTTTGTTGGTTTTTTCTTTTTTTTCTCACAGTGTGGGCTTAGATATTAATATGAGCCATAAACGCAGAAGCTCTGAGACTATTTAAATTTAAAAGCCACTTTCTTCTGCCATATCTAGGCCAAAACTCAGGGAGGGCTGGGAGTTGAGGAGCAGAGGCATCATCTCTTATCCAGACAAACTGAATGTGCCCCAGGTCTCATCCCAGTCCCTGCCTGCATCCCCTGAGGGATCATTACTGGGACCAGCATCACAGCACCTGTGACAGAGGCTGGGACAAGGCTGCAGGAGGGGGAAAGAGCTGCAGATGCAGGAGAAAGCAAAGGAGAGAGATTACTGTCTGGTAATTAGAAAGCAATAAAATCCCCTCAGCGTCTGACACTCTTTTAAACCAATTTTTTACTGAGATTAATTACTGGGCAATCTCAGAGCTTTCTACCACAAATTGTGCAGCCCCTGTTGTGTTTGCATCTCCGGGGGAAAGGCGTGAATGAGTGCACTTTGGGAAAGGGCAATTCCATTTCAGGGGGGAGCTGTGTCTGCAGGCATGGAAAGGACATTTTAACTGAAGCTGCCTCTTTTCTTTGCCTAGTGCTAACAGGTCCCCAGCCTCTGCTGCCTTCCCTTCAGATGCATCTTTTGCCAGAGGCTCGGTGCCTCCCTGCCATGTGCTGACATCTCTCCCCTTCCTGACAGAAACCCAGCAAAGCTAGGAGGAAAAAAAAAATCGAATCCCAGACATTTGACCCCCATTCAAACCTCTCAGAGGTGTAAAAATAAGGAAACAGATTTTGAGCGTGATCTGTGTGCAGATGTTACCTGCAGGTGCCTGAGGATCCTGTGTGTGTCTGTCAGGGCCATGAAATGACATTTGAGCCATTTGTGGGCCCCCTTTTATGCCTGGCTGTCAGAAAGTGAGAGTTTTGATAGGAAATGATGACAGGAAATCAGGGCAGGTTTGAGGCAGGCCAGGAGCCACACAGCGGGGGCAGCAGCTCAGGAGCCATGCTGCCCCTCACTTTTGGGGACACCACACCATGACTGCCTCCCTGCTCTGAGAAGGGATGATTTTAAAGCCTTTTGCAATCCATAAGCTAATTAAACCCATAAGCAGCTCTGAAAGCCTCTGTGCAAGGGCATTGGGGTGTCTGGTGGTGTTTTGTGTGGGACAAGGAATGTGTCCCCAAACCCAGAGCCCCTCTGACCCCAAAAGGCTCATCCACTTGCAGAACAGCTTGACCACTGCCACTATGTGTCACTCAAAATATTTCAATTCTTTCACCCAGAAATCTTCCCAGTCACATCTGTCCAGGATACTCCTCCTCTTCTTCCTCTTCTGTGGAAAAATTATTGTTTCTCTTTGCTGAGATTAATTGTCATTTAAAGAAATTCTTGTTATTCATAACCTATGGTGGTTTCAGGAAGGAGCTCTTCACCACAACTTTCTTTGCAAATTCACCTGTTAGTAAGGTGTTGATAACATTCTTTAAGGATTAACAAAATTTCTTGGAGGTTTTTTGGTTGTGAATTTGTTGATAGTTTTATAATGGAGGAAAAAGCAGCAACAGGAAACTTTCAGAGTGTCTGGGCAGGTTGTGAAGTGTGGCCTTTAACCAGGGCCTTCTACTCAGAGTGACTATTCATCCTTTTTGCAGTGTGTTTTTATTACCTGCCCTCCTTTTCCACCCAGACTGGTAATCTTGCTTCCCCACAGCAAAGCAGAAATGACTTTAGCTTCTCCTCCAGAGGAATTATCAGAGGGCTCTCAGGAGGAGGCAGCAGATGGTGCTGCAGGGACATGCAGCCTCTTCCAAGTAATTCCCCTTCTTTCCACAGCCTCACTGGGGTGGCAGTGACCTGGGGGACAGCAGCTGGTGGCACTGCCCTGCCTGGGCAGGGTATCTCTGCCAGGGTCCTGTTCCTCCAAGAAAAATCCAGGAGCAAGAACTGGCAGGGTCCAACCTGCAGGCCTCCAGCCAGGAAGATGTCCCTGAGTATTTGGGGCAGAGTTCCTGGCCTGTCACCCTCCTTGGCAAGGGGATAAAGAGGTTTCTCCTCATGCTGCTTACCCAGAGTTCACCCAGCCCTCTCTGCAAGGGAATGGGCAGTTAAGGGATGCTGCATCGTCCCCAGGCTGATCCTTCAGCTCTAGAATGCTGTCCCCTGGCTCCTGGCAGAGGGACAGCCCTGGAGACAGGCAGAGATTGCCTGGCCAAGCCATGTCCCCACAGGGTGGCAGCCTTGACTGTGCTTTGGCACTCCCAAGGGCTCCCTTCTCACCAGGGTTCAACACCTCCCCAGGGAGATGGGACCCAGGGCACAAGGATCCAACCAGAGTTGCACAACTCTGGCATTTCTTGGTTTCTGACTGATTTACAAGCTAGCCAGTGCTACATAAAAGCTGGGAGTACCCTGAAAGTTTAGCAGCATTTTTCACCCAAAGCAAATCCTGCTGCATGCAATCTCTGCAACCCCTCATCTCCTTGGCATCATCATCATCGCATTTGGGCTCTGCCATACAGGTATCTAAATATGGAATTAAAATAGTAGTAGCTGCCTCAGTTAGCAAAAAAAAAAAAAAAAAAAAAGAAAAAAGAAAAAAGGGCTCCAAACACATAAAAAAACCCCATTATGCTCTCAAAAGAACACTGGGCACAACCCTGCAGTTTATTGTAGTGTTGGGCACATAAATCTGGGATGTGCAGCCGAGGAGACTGTAATAATGTGAAGCCTGCCCTCCCTAACTCAGACTTTGTCCCTCTGGTGTGACCTCTTGTCAGGACTGGCTTGGAAAGCCACGAGCTCACGCCAGGGGAGGTGTGTCCCTGCTGTGTCCCTCATTCCCAGCTCCTGATCTGGCTTTTCCCGGGGGAAATGCAGTCAGGGCCCATCCAGAGCCCACAGAGCAGTCAAGGCC